GACCCCCGCCTCCGGCCCCACCGCCCCAGTAAGCTGACGCAGCGTCTCTAAGCGTTAGCAGCTTTGCCCGCTAATAGGATTAGGGAGGTTTAAAACTGTCATTTGAGTGAACTAAACCCCCTGATACTCTGCATTGCACCTTCTTAACCAATTTGCCTTCAATTAGGGTAATTGGGAAACTAGCAAAGAAGTATAGCATTAATATTTTAAAGTGATGAAGCGATTACGGGCCTTGGACGAGGAAGCAAATCAATTTGCTATCTGCTCCTAAAAGGCAATTATAATCATTTGGCAAATAAGCCTGCTGGCCTCCCCCACCGTATGAGCCAACACCTTAAGGCGGTCAGCAGGGCCGGCGCCGCGCACACCGCCCAGCAAGCAATGCCGAAGCTGGGCAGCTGGGCAGCCCCCTGCTCCTAAAATCAGCCCTGGCACCCCGGGGACCGTGGGTCCCAGCACGGCAGCACCTCCCTGTGCCGCCTGGGCTGTGGGGGCACCCTGGGGGAAGCCACCGAGGGCCACCAGAGCAGGGGACCTGGCTCCTGCGCCCACCATGGTGGCCGGCATGGGCACAAGCGCCGGCCCCAGGCTAGTGGGAGCGGCAGGTCCAGGTGCCTGTTTGCATCCCTGGCCCCACGCGTCGTCCCTGCGCCCGGGGATGTCCCCAAACACCCCCAAAGGCTCTCCCCCCCTGCACACCCCTGCTGCAGGTGGGGCCCTGGTAGCTCTGTATGGCATGGGGGTATCACCCTGTCCCCAGGGGCTGCGTGGCCCCCAGAGGCATATCACGCCATCCCTGGTGCGGGGATAGCCTGCCCCTGGGGTGGTGGCATGCTGTCCCCAGGGTGGTGGCATGCCATCCCCAAGACAGCATCACGCTATCCCCAGAACGGTGTCAGATGGGGCAGGCAAAGCTGCACAGCCCCCCCGCACCGAGATGGCCTCAGGGCCCAAACCGGGGCACAGAGGTGGCTGCGGGGTCCCCTCGGCAGCAGCTCTGGTGCAGAGGGCACAGACCTGCATGGGGCCATCAGCCACCCAGCAACGGGGTGGGGGTGGGGGGTCCAAAAACCCTGCGGTGACATTTGCCATCCAAAAGGGGAACCACAGTGAGGAGAGGAAGGGAGTGGGAGGAAGCCGAGACGGCGGCTGGGGGCAGCAGCGTTTGCAGGTGGCAGGAAGAAGCTTTTGGGAGAAAGTAAAAGCGAGCAGAGAAAGAAAAGGCAAAACCTGCCCAGGGGGACGGGGGGGTCTGGGCAGCACGGAGCAACCCCCACCCAGAGCACCCCAGGATCCCCATCGTGATGTTCCCCTTGTCCCCCAGGCCAGGGTCCCCGGGTCGGCAGTGGGACGGGGGAGGAGAGGGATGGCATTTCTGCCCCCCAGCCCGGCTGCCTCTGCCCCACACGCCCACGGCCATGGGCAGCCCCCAGGGATGGTCCCCACAGCTGGACCCCGCAGCTGGTCCCCACAGGGTGTCCCCACGCCTGGTCCCCGTACTCAATCCCATGTCCATGGCTTGTACCCATGCCTGGTCCCATGGATGG